AAAAAAAAAAAAAAAAAAAATCAGCAAACCGATGCTTATTAAGTTCAGTTGATGGAGCTTTCAAATACGAGCTGCCGTTTTTATTCTTTAATTCTTAATTCTTTTATTCTATATGTGCTACCCTTTCAGATATCAGTTAGTTTTCTCACTTAAATAGAATGATACTATTAAACAAAATTTAATAAAGCGGCGTGCTTATATAGTAGTCTCATAATATATATATATATATATATATATATATATATATATATTTTTTTTTTTTTTTCATTTGTGTTCTAGCTTCTGCATTGTGTTTGGTGAGCTGACTTACATACCTACAAACTGGTTCACCATCGTCGTTAAAGACACAGGTGCCTCCATTGTTACGTTGAAGGTAACAGTCTCCCCCTAACCACGGGTATCTTTTCTTAAACTTCTCATCTTATTTTTCATGACAGATGAAATCGTAAATCAAAAGAGCAAAATTTCAAAAAATTGATATTACAAAAAATAAATCGGAATATTTTAGTTTCAATGGTATGCCTAGGCAAAAAAAAATCTCATATTAGATATGTGATTGGAGAAGTGTATAATCACGTGTGCTGATACCAATTAACAGACTACCATGCCTTTAACCTGCTGCACTGCGTAATATGCAGTGATTTAAATGGGTAGTGTTACTTTGGGCTGGTCAAAGCTTGGTTTTGGTGAGCATGGTTCTCTCCTATCCAGGGAATAAATCAGCTTATCCAGAGGATAAAGTTGTCAGCTCGAAATAGATGGGATAAATCTGCTATCATGCTCTTAAATCATCAAAAATTGCTAACCTGATCGCTTTGGGAGTTAATCCTTTGATATTTCACAGGCGTAGAATGATTAGAAAGAAAATTTTAGAAGATGTGTGTTTGTTGTTGATGCTTTAAGTGATACAGAATCAATAGATTACATAACAGACTTTATCAAAGTTGATATCGCGCCTGCTACGAACAGAACCCATGCAATCTCCGTGAGAGACCAATTATATTTTATTTTACTAAAACATACATTTTAAATCGACGAAAAAATACTACACTGAATCTGCCAAATGTACCAAGTCAGCCATTTTGTAAGAAAGTATGTCACGACTTTGCCCTTTAACTGTAAATCTCTGAAATAAGTTCTCCACTAAGAGGCTTGCTATCTTACGCAACCCAAGCCGTTATTTATACGATTCTGTGCGAACAAAGGCCATTCATTCTTCAGCAAAGAAACATACAAAGTGAGGCATAACTAATGCAACGTAATGTGTTTTTGACACTGACACTAAAATATCCTATAGATATTTTTCCCATTATTTTAATGAATGTACCATCTTGAAATATACTTAAAATATTGTTTAAAATGGGTAATTTTTTTTCCAAATATGGTATAGATCACTTTTTTGTTAGCAAATATCAAGGCTTTTGTAATGTTTATAGCAACCAACTGCATTATGGGAATGTATTTTTTCCAAATATGGTATTGGATAAATTTTTATCCACTGGATTACTATCATGCTGTTTTTCCAGCCTTTCTGAAACACAAATGTATACAGTGGATAACTGCCCAGATGATACATGTAAGAGATATATACCATGGGTGGTGTTATCCATAGGATAGCCTATCCAGCCTTGATGAAACCGGGCCCTGGATACAGGACTCACTGTCCTTACTGAAATGCTGCTGCAATTAAAAAAAGACCGCCCATGTCTTCTGAATGAGGGGTAAATTGCCATCAGAACGCGTATAACAAGGCCCTTAGCGAACACCAGACTGATTTAGCAGGCTATAATACCAGCCGACCTCTGAGGAAGCCAAATGGAAAGCATTGTCGTATGATAATGGAATGAGAACCATGGCCGTTTCTTGGTAGAACAATGAAAATGCTTGACTTTGGAAGACGTTTTGACAAATGATAATTGGTTTATTGCGTAACGCTGTTAATAAATGATTAAGGAAACTGAAAATACCTTACTGGGACCATATTTCATTTTAATTCACTCTGTATGTTTCTTTGTTTTAAAGTTTAAGTAAACGAAATTGTAGGCACATATAACAAGACAGGAAATAAGCAAAATAACAAATTCTTGCCTTTTGCAGCGATATTTGATGTGTGCTAAATTCAGTTTCATGTGCAGGTTTCCAAAAGCAGTGACTCTTCTAGATGTCTGTAAAAGACAAACCCAACGACTGTGTCTGTTTTTTTTTTTTTTTATGAAGTGCAGGGGATGAAATGCATAATCAGAAAAACAACAGAAACATAAGAAAGAAACCTGAAAATCTTTTTCTCAGTGACACAATGACGGTGCAGGTGTCAGCTTCTCGTAAAAAAAGAAATGAAACATTGCATAAGAATACTAAAAAAATCATGAATACGTACAATATAATAAAAATTAAAGATACATAAAGTAGCTACATAAAATATTAATTAACAGATGTTCTTGCAAAATTTATAAACTTTCGTTCAGTTAGATACTAGAGAGTAAGCTTGCCTTCAGGAAAACGAGTAAATGTTTTAAAATCTTAATTAAAAAAAAACAATGGAAATCGAAACTGTCATTTGCCTGTATTGAAATGATACTTGTCATCAATGGAAACAGTACCATGATTGCAGAGATATTTAAGTTATAAAGTAAAAAAAAGGGGAAAAACATGAGAGTGCAATTTTGCTGTTGGAAGACGCTTTGAAAAATTATAATGATTTCATTACATAACACTGTCGATTTATGAGCCAGGAACTTTTTGAAACAGAAAATATCTTACTGGAACCATATTTCATGGGATCCTACTTTGTATGTTTCTTTGCTGAAGAATGAATGGCCTTTGTTCGCACAGAATCGTATAAATAACGGCTTGGGTTGCGTAAGATAGCAAGCCTCTTAGTGGAGAACTTATTTCAGAGATTTCAATCTTTTGCTCGGACTGCTTCATTGGAGAATATGAAGTCGTGCGCCTTTCTTGTGCTTTTGGTGCTGTTTGCCACTGTTTCCATAGAAGGTGAGTGATGCTTCCATAATATCATGCATTATGTAAGGGCAACACATTGGTCTGTACATAATCTTGTAGTGAAGTTACTAACTTGACATACCCGGTTTTCAAAAAAAAAAAAAATACTTATTGAAAAACCTGACAAACCCAGCCGTTTTTCATCTTAAAACAAAATGGTGCATCCTCATGTCACCCTCACCCCCCCCTCCCCTGTACACACAGCTGTAAAGCATGGTAAAGAATCTTGATCACGAACATGTAGATGGGGTTCGGATAGGGCATCGATGGTGCCGGGAATGACTGGCATAATTTTAAGTGAAATTCAACAGAACCTGAATTTTATTTCCATTGTGCTACTTTAAATCACTAATATGTGAATCTAGAACTTTTACGCAAATTTAATATCCCAAATTTATATTATGTTTATCTTTATTTTTATGTAGACATAGCCGTGCAATGTGTACCACCGCTTGCTACGTGCAGCTGCTGTGGTCATACTTGTAGAAGCGATCATGGGAGTTGCTATTGCGTCGGAGAGTACCCCAACTGCACCTGTGGTGCAGTCGATCACCCATAATAAAAGGTTCTGTGATCACATTTTCATGGCAATATTTTAACTAATATACATACTCTGACCAGCTATCTGTTTTACAGAAAGGCGTTGATTATTGTGTTAATTTGAAAGTGCCAAACTGAGTAGTACATTCTACAAGTCAATTGGATGATATTGTTGTGAGAAATTGTGAAAGTGAGTTAATGGCTCATAAAAACAAGGGATACCAGTACCACAAAAAACTAACAAACACAGTTTGCCCAAAGGTAGAGGTTTAAATACCGAATAGATAACGAGATTAACAGCCTTTTAAAATTTTATAGAGGGCAAGAAAGAGAAAGAGATCCATGGTTTTCGTGCTTGCCAGTGTGACTGCGTGTGTGTCTATGTGTTAAAAAGAGAGAGAGAGAGAGGGGGGGGGGGGAAGAGAGAGAGAGAGAGAGGTTAGGGGATGTGGGAGGAGAAAGAGAGAACCAGGCTGTGCGTGCGCATGTCATAAAATCCGATTGTCATATCCGATTGTCGATGCTTCGATTCTATTGTGACATTATCTAATACAACCTTTATAATGTGCATTCAAATAAGCAAATAAAAATGAATCTCGTATTCTAAATGATCAGTTTAATTCTACAGTTTATTTTTTTACAGTTAATATTAATAATATTTTTTCTTTTTATTTTCAGAATAGCCTCCCGTAGAGAGGAACGACGCTTGACCAGTTGAACATACCGAAGAAAACGGAAAACTAACCTCTCAGCTAGGTGTAAAGCTGCTGCATTTGGTCTTTTTTTTTTTTTTTTGTGAATTTTGAGTTCAACGATAAGTGGTCAAAATAAAGATTGTAGTAAAACACTGTATTTACTGCATAGTCAAAGCTTTAAGCCTTTGTTGTTGTTGTTGTTGGAAACCGTTAAGTACTTAATACTCTCTGTCCGCGCGTTTTCCAAAAAAAAAGTTGATGTAGATCATTCCAGCGTCACGGAATATGGTGCTGTTAAAGCATTTCTAATATGTTGCCTGTATTATAAATATATATTGCTTCTCAATATTTGTTAAATGCCTCGCTAGGAAATATTTATTACAGAGGTATTTACGGCTGTTTTTTTTTTTACTCCTTAATGTATTGCCCAAAGGTAGAAGTTTAACAAAGATTTCACAGTATTTATCCCAATACCTCGTTATAAAAAACTAAACAGAATAAGACTGAAAGTAAGTTTGTCAAACACATATCATTTTTATACAAACTCTTATCAATTCTTTTAAATTTCTACTTTGTAGCGAACACACATCGCAAAAATAATGATATCTTAAAATGGATATAAACATAAACGTGCATGCTACTACTTCTACTACTACTACTACCACTACTACTACTACTACTACTACTACCACTACTACTACTACTACTACTACCGCTACTACTACTACTACTACTACCACTACTACTACTACTACTACTACTACTAATAATAATAATAATAATAATTACGATAAAGTCATTAGAACAGAACGTTGTACAAGTTCAGTTGGCTGCCGTTCTGAACCATGTTACGGATAGGTATGTGATTTTCAACAAATAACGTTCCTCTGTATGGGTGAGTGATAAAAAGCGGATTTAAACCTGAGTCACTACTCATTCAACCACCAGCACACATTTTGAAAAGACTAACATTCATAAGAACCAAACATTATCTTGGAACATTTCGAGTACGAGTTGCTATCCTTTTTTTTCAAACGTTTCCCTTGTAGCCATTCAGTCACTCGCAGTAGTCAATAATCAATGTCATCACACAAGTGCCACCGTTGACACACACACACATATATATATATATATATATATATATATATATATATATATATATATATATATATATATATATATATATATATATATATAAGTACAGAGTGCTCAACTGTCCGGAGCATTTATGCACAATTAAAATTAATAAATAAATAAAAACAAGAGACATGTATCAACCCCGACTCCGAGTTTCACGGGCATACCCAGAAGGTATGCCCGATCATCAGGAGGTGTTTATTTGAAAAATGGTGTTTTGGCCATTTATCTACACTGCGTGACGACACCTACGTCGCATGCCGTGTCAGTTACGTCACCTTGTGCCGACACGGTAATTATTTAAGTTCTTTTATTTAGAGTATCTGGCGTTATCATAACAGTTTTTCGTCCAGGCAAAAGTTGCATAGGTGCTGATTTCTCCTTTGTGACGCTGATTTTTTATGACACCCCATCTTATGTCATACTGGGTGTTACTTTCTTTCAATTTCCAAATGTATTTAGATAGCTCAGTTTCTACAGCATATGTTTTGTCCCTTAATGACACAAAGTCATATATAGTAATATATATTATTTGTGTTCTAGCTTATACATTGTGTTTGATGAACTGTCTAACATACCTACAGACTGGTTCATCATTGTTGTTAAAGACGCGGGAGCCACTTATAAACCTCTCATCTTATTCAACATGAAAGATAAACCGTAAATTAAAATAGCATTTAATTAATTAATACCGTCATTACATATTATATCAAAAATAATGCTAGGTTATAACCTTTTGGAAATGACATTTTAAGAAATGAAGTAATATACGAGTACAAATGATATGTACGTGCTGTCGTACTCTGACAAAAGTTTGCAGATGTTTTTTCTGACTCTTTTTTTATATTATTACCCTAATTTCAAGTCTTATTAGTCAAAAGCAATACATTAATGAAATCTTCTGTATTCCTCTACTTACAGTTGGTGCATGTTTTCATGCACTTCCCAAGTGACGTTTTTGCTCCAATTTTATATTTCTTAACTCTTAACATTTTAAACCCTGAATATTTCTTTAAACGTTGCAACCAAATTCAGTTTCGGGAATCAATAATTAGTGGTAAAAAAAAAAAAAAAAACTTACTGTGCCCTGGTTCTCCCGCAGCTTCTTAGGCATGGCATTAAGATCAATTTTCTACAGTATGTGCAGCGTTTTGTTAAATAAAATTGCTTTGACAAATGGTGATGATTTTATTGAGTAACGTAAATGGTTAAGGAAATGTTTGAAACAAAAATATCTTGCTGGGACCATATTTCCTCGTGATTTGTATTATGTCTTTTGTTTACATCACTGCCGACTACTATTTGAAAGAAAAAAAAAGCTGTTTAAATCCGAACTTTAGGAGAGTAGAAAACCAACAGATACATAAATGAGTACATGAGCTGTTGCTGATATCAATAGTTCAAAATGAAAACTCCAGTGAATTACATATAATTTGAAGATATAGGTATATATTATCAGGCAGAACATTAGCGATACGACATATGTATGTCTTTTGTTTGATGTTTGGTGTGTATCAAATACAGCGTCATGTACAATAATCAAATGCAAAGAATCTTCTAGATTTTTCTAAAATGCTGAAACTTGGTCTGGCCTTTAATAAGATAAAAAAAGAAATATAGAGAATAAAAATTATTGAAAAAATTAAAAAGTAATAAAAAATAATACAAAATTAAAAAATAAAAAATAGAGAGAAAACGAAATGTCGCCTAAACCATTTGACCAACATTTCATTTATTTCAGTTTTAGATATTTAGTTGGCACTCAAACATTCAACAAATGATTTTAAGACGGTAGGTGTTTTGCATTAAGGTAAATATTTAGTGTGCTGCAGGAGCTACTTTTCAAATTGTGAATTGTTTATTTTATAGTTAGTTTTTAGAGAGCAAGATTGCTTTCATCAAACGAGTAAACTTTTTTGAATATTGATTGAAAAAAAAACGACGAGAATTGTAGTGACTCTTGTCTTGTCATGCATCGATTAAGATAAAACTATAATTTCAAAGTAATTTGTGTTAAAAACTAAAGAAAGAGAAAAAGAATAAAAAGGAGGTGCACGTGTGCTGTTGGAAGACGCTTTGATAAATGATAATGATTTCATTGCATAACACTGTCTATTAATGATTGAGGAAATTTTTGAAACAGGAAATATCTTACTGGGACCATATTTCATGGCGATACTATTTTGTGTGTTTCCTTGCAGAAGATTGCATGGCCTTTGTTCCAATAGAATCGCTTAAATGGCGGCTTGGGTTGCGTTAGTCTCTTAGTGGATAACTTATTTCAGAGATTTCAATATTTTGCTAGGACTGCTTCATTGGAGAAAATGAAGTCGTGCGCCGTTCTTGTGCTTTTGGTGCTGTTTGCCACTGTTGCCATAGAAGGTAAGTGATACTTCCATAATAACATGCATTATGTATGGGCAACGCATTGGTCTGTAAGCTTGTAGTGAAGTTATTAACTTGACATACCTGGTTTTCAACAAAATACTTGTTGAAAAACCTGACAAACCCAGCCGTTTTTCTCCTTCAAGCAAAATGGTGCATTCTCATGCCACCGTCATCCCCCCCCCCTACACACAGCTGTAAAGCATGGTAAAGAATCTTGATCACGAACATGTAGATGGGGTTCGGAAAGGGGCATCAGCCGTTTCGGGAATAACTAGGATCATTATTAAGTGAAGATTGAAAGAACCTGGATTTTATTTCCATTGTGCTACTTCACAAATATTTGAATCTAGAACTTTCACGAAAATTAATATTCCAATGGTCTTTCGGTAACATGTTTATCTTTATATTTTTTATTTTATGTAGACTCAGCCGGGCAAAGTACACCGTTTGTGACGTGCGACTGCTGTGGTCATATTTGTGGAAGCGTTCATGGGAGATGCTACTGCGTCGGAAAATACCCCAACTGCCGCTGTGGTGCAATCGATCACCCAAAATAAAAGGTGCTGTGATGATATTGCTCAAGGCAGTTTTTTCAATAATACATATTCTGACCAGCTATCTGTATACAAAAAGTTGTTGAATACCGTGCTAATTTGAGACTGCTAAACTGATTAGTCAATTCTACAAGTCAATTTGGTGGTACCTGTGTAACATGAAAATCTGACCCCCATGAAAATCTGACACCCCCAGTCAGATTTTCATAATTTTTCTTTTTGAGTATAGAACTGTGATCTTGTAGTATGTAAAATGAAGGATACAGTGCACTTTTTTGTAGTTTGCAGGTGAAAATTTTCATGAAAAAAGAAGAAAATTAAAAATGTGCACACAATGAAAATCTGGTTCCCCCTCCACAAAACTTCATAAATCTTATTTTATTTTGAGTATATGACTGTGATCTTGTAGTATGTAAAATGGAGGATACATTGGCACTTTTTTTGTAGTTTGCAGGTGAAAATCTTCATGAAAAAATAGAATTAAAAATGTGCACATAATGGAAATCTGACTCCCTCATGAAAATTTGACTCCCCCTCCACAAATATTCCTAAATTTTAATTTATTTTGAGTATATGACTATGATCTTGTAGTATGTAAAATGGAGGATACATTGGCACTTTTTTGTAGTTTGCAGGTGAAAATTTTCATGAAAAAAAAAGAAAATTAAAAATGTGCACTTAACCGCCCATTGTCTCCCCTATGAAAAAGCTATCTATTTAACATTTGATGATCATTTCAACACCTTTTCTTAACTTTTACTATATGAAGATTATATTGGAAATATTTAAAAGTTTGATAGTAAAATATTGGGTGAAAAAGAAAAAAAAAACATGAAAAATAAGAAAATTAAAAATGTGCATTTTATCACCCAATAACTCCCCATTGAAAAAGCTATCTATTTAATATTTGATGATCATTTCAACACCTTTCCTTTTAGGATACTTTATGAAAAATATATTGCAAATATTTTAAAGTTTGATGATAAAATTGTGAGTGAAAGAATGAAAAGAAATCATGAAAATCTTCATTTCTATACCCTCGAGATTTGGACTCCCATGAAGAAAAGGACCTATTTTATATTCAGTCAACATACCATTGCTTTCCACATAGTTTGCATAGAGATGAATATTTTGTTTTTATTTGAAAGTTTGATTGTGAAAATTTTGGTGAATATTTTTAAAACAAGTATCCATCTTACTTCCTGTAGGTTTTGCACTCTGTCAAAACGCTACATTTTTTACTCAAGAAATTGGCCCATCGCCTTTTTATTTAATTCTTCTTATATAGCATACGAAACTAAACACTTGCTGTTGTTTTCCCATTATTTTTCCCCAAAGCTGGATGAAAAATGGGGATTAATTAACCAAAGAGGATAATAAGTATGCATTCTTGCGGCCATAGGACTTTGACGACCCAACTTACAAATCAATTGTTTATATTTAATATTTGAATATTTTTTCTTTTAAGCTAAGACATATGAATAAGCTACCACCAAGCATGTCACAGCCCTATCACATTTGAAAGTTTGGTGGTGAAAACCTTTGTCAAAATTGAGAATGTTTTCAAAAGGCATTCATCTTACTACCTGTAGGATTTGGATTGACATTTTCTACATTTCTTTTTTTCGCATTAGATAATTTCAGTGCTCAAGGTCCTACCTGTGGCACTTGGTTAATTGCAATTAGGTACCTGCTAGGGCTGTGAGATGTTTGGTGGTAACCTTGTGATCTCAAGTTGATTGCAATAAAGCAATGACCACAGGCATTTCAGTGCTCCAGGCCTTACCTGTGGTACTTGGTAAATTGCAATTAGGGGGAGTCAAATTTTCGTGGGGGAGTCAGATTTTCATTGTGTGCACATTTTTAATGTTCTTATTTTTTCATGTAAATTTTCAGCTGCAAACTACAAAAAAAGTGCCAATGTATCCTCCATTTTACATACTACAAGATCACAGTCATATACTCAAATAAAATGAGATTTAGGCATTTTTGTTGGAAGGAGTCAAATGTTCACGGGGGAGTCAGATTTTCATTATGTGCACATTTTTAATTTTCTTATTTTTTCATGAAAATTTACACCTGCAAACTATAAAAAAGTGCCAATGTATCCTCCATTATGCATACTACAAGATCATAGTAATTTACTCAAATAAAATTAGATTAATGAATGTTTTTTGAGGGGGAGTCAAATTTTCATGGGGGGAGTCACATTTTCATTATGAACATCTTTCATGGGAGTCAGATTTTCATAATGAAAAGCTGACTGGGGAGTCACATTTTAGGGGAGTCAGATTTTCATGGTACATCTGTATTGTTGTGAGAAATTGTGAGAGTGAATTAATGGCTCATAAAAACAAGGGATACTAGCACCATAGAAAATTTTTTAAACTAACAAATACAGTTTGCTCAAAGTTATCAATTGATGAACAAGATGAACGGTCTTTTCAATTTTTTTAGAAAGGGAAAGAGAGAGAAAGAGAAAGACATGGTGTCTGTGCGTGCATGTGTCAGTGCGTGTGGGTTTGTTTGTTAGAGAGAGAGAGAGAGAGAGAGAGAGAGAGGTTGTGTAGGTAAGGGGAGGTGGGAGGAGAAGGAGAGAACCAGGTTGTGTGTGCGCATGTCATATACTCCGATTGTCGATACTCCGATTCTTTTTGATATAATCTAATGCAACCTTTGTAATGTGCATTCAAATAAGCAAATTCAAAAAAATCCATCTGTATTCTAAATGGTCAGTTTAATGCAGCGGTTTATTATTTTTCAGTTTATACTTACAATATATATTTGTTTTCAGAATAGTCTCCAGTCGAGAGGAAGCATGACCAGTTGGAAAATAGGAAACTTGTTACTCAGCTAAATGTAAAGCTGCTGCATTTGGATTTTTTTGTGAATTTTGTGTTCAACAATAAGTGGTCATAATAAAAATTGTATTAAAATACGCTGTATTTACTGTATAGTAAACGTTTTAAACATTTGTTGTTGTTGGAAATGGTATGAATGCTTTCTACGCCTCTGCTAGCGTATAAAAAAATAATAGAAAAAAAATTGGAATACCAATGTTTCTTGACCAATGTAGATCATTCCACATGGAATACGGTTCTGCCAAAGCACATAAAGTATCAATTTGTTTCCTGTATTATGAATATATAATTCTTTTCTAATTTTTTGTCAAATGCCTTGCTTAAAAATATTTATTACAGTAGTAATTCTGGCTGTTTTTAACTCAAAACACGAAGACAAATTTCACAGTATTCATACCAGTGTCTCGCGATTAAAAACTAAACAGAAAAAGACTGTAAGTAAGTTTGTCAACCACATTTCATGACTATAGAAATTTATATCAATTCTTTTAAATTTGTTCTTTGGAGCAAACACACATAGCAAAAATAATGATATATTAATATGGATAGAAACATGAACGTGTATAATAATAATAATAATAATAATAATAATAATAATAATAATAATTATTATTATTATTATTATTATTATTATTATTATTATTATTATTATAAGGAAAAATTCAGATATCCAATAAAAACAATATTAGTTTCTACAAGTTTAGTGGGATGCCGTTCTGAACCAAGTAACGGGTATAAGGTCCGTGGGGGATATGTACTAAATTACCACGCCCTGTATTGGTGAGTGATAAAAAGTGGCTTTAAACTTGAGTCACTACTCATTCAACCACCAGCACACATTTTGAAAAAAACCGACATGAAGAATTCATAAGAACCAAATGTTAACTTGCAGCATTTCAAGTGCGAGTTGCTGTCTTTATTCTCTTTTTTTCATAAAGTTTTCCGCTGTAGCCATCTGGACACTCACAGTAGTCGCCAATCAAGTGCCACCGTGCCACCGTTGACACACGTTTTACGGCATTCATTGGTCAGCCTCGCCATGCGCTGTTCTCCAATGAAACCACTTCTGCAGCTGCAGTAAAATAAAGTAATGTGATGAACAGCTTTCATGAAAGTGCTACGAGATATCACATGGAATTCTATATTCTGATTCTTAATGTATACATATTTTTATATATATTCAATTACGTTTATTTTTATTTGTGTTCCAGCTTCTGCATTATGTTTATTGAACTGACTAACATACCTACAGACTGGTTCATCATCGTCGTTAAAGATGCAGGTGCCTCCATTGTTACATTAAAGGTAACAGCCGCCCCCTAACCAGGGATATCTCTTCTTAAACTTCTCATCTTTTTCAACATGAAAGATGAAGCCGCAAATTAAAAAAAACAAGTTTCAATAAATAAACAAATAAATAGATAAATAAATACGGATGTTACATATCATATTACCCTAATTTCAAGTCTTATTAGTTAAAATCACTACATGAATGAAACATTATGTATTCCTCCACTTACAATTGATGCATGTTTTCAAGCACTTTCCAAGTGACGTTTTTGCTCCAATTCCACCAGCGCACTGCTTTTCTGGGACACGTTTTCAGCGTAGCCTACAAGACCATGTCGCCACCTCTAGGCCGTACTGCCCACATCCCTCAGAACCGTTGACGCCTTTGTAACAGCTACATGTATAAGGTGCCCAAGGGCTCCAGGCGGCAACTGAAATAATCTTTATGTGAGGCGTTTGCACGTGTTTCACATATTTATAAAGCAACCGCGATTTTGTATTTCTTAACTCTTAATATTTTTTAACTCTGAATATTTGTTTAAACGCTGCATCCAAATTCAGTATCGGGAAGCAATAATAATCGTGGTAAAAAACTCACCTTACTGTGCCCTGGTTCTCCCGCAGCTTCTTAGGCATGATTCTTCTCTGTAAGTAGCACCAAGACATGGGAGCTTTCCTAGAGATGGTGCAGGGCTATTGCACCTTAAATGTCATAATTATTTCATTCATTCTCATTTCGTCAGTCTGCTAGAGTTATTCTATTAACATCACGCTATTTATATCACTCACAGGATGCTAGTTGTTATTTTCAGCGACATGATAGTCGTTCCAGGTTACGAAATCGTTTACTTTAGTCACTGGGTGGCATGGCTCCAGTACAGCTGTCATGACGAGACAAGTTTATAGTATCGGCGATAAATATTTCAAAATATGATAATTATGCAATTTTATCCGAACGGCAGGCTTAAAAACCAATCATTTCGTGGCAAGACGCCACAAATGACATCATCAAGACCCAAGTTTGTGACACCGTTAATTATTTTAAGTCAGCAGCAATTAACATTTTTATAATATGAATATAAATAATATTAAATTTATGTTACACTTTAACATGCGGATAACAACAACAACAAAGAATGAATGTTTTTATTTGGTTCCAAAAAGCAAGAGGTAGAAGCTTAGAGAGCAGAAAGAAGGGAGGAAGAATAAATCAGAGAAGAACAGGCGTGTGAGGCAGGTGTGAAGCAAAAGTCACGCAAAAAGGAACTACTTTCGCCGTGCGTTGCATTATCTTTGTACATGTTTACAAGTGAGTTCCACGTACGCAGGAAGCAAGACAAACTCAAGAAATGAGTACAATTTCTACGGTCATCTCACCTTGAAATTAGCGTTCTTGCTTGGAAGGGCATCTGACGTGGCCCCTTCGACTCGCAGGGCAGACGTGTGCCTTTTCATTGAAAATTTTTCTCTACCTCTAGGAACTCCACGGCCTCCACTGCACCCAAAATTCGTAGGGGACGTACGGTCTTGAAATTCGGGCGTCCGGTTGTGACTGAGGCTTTATCTTGGAGCTTCCATGTACGAGATGCCGTATTAATTCTTTTCATGCAAATTTTTCCGCTGTAGCCATCCGAATTTGCAGTAGTCGTCAATCAAGGTCATCACGCACGTGCCACCACTGACACACCTTTTACGGCATTCATTGGACAGCTGCGTCATGTACAGTTTTCCACTAAAACCACTTCTACAGCTGCTCTAAAAGTAAAGCAGTATGATGAACAGTTTTAATATAAGTGCTACGAGATATCATATGGTCCTCTTACTTACTTACTACTTATCATATGATGAACAGTTTTAATATAAGTGCTACGAGATATCATATGGTCCTCTTACTTACTTACTACTTATCATATGGTCCTCAGTGTTTAGATCAATTTTCTACAGTATGTGCAGCGTTTTGTTAAATAAAGTTGCTTTGACAAATTGGTGATGGTTTTATTGCGTGACGCTGTATATATAATGGTTAAGGAAATGTTTGAAACAGAAATATCTTGCTGGGACCATATTTCATCGTGATTTGTATTATATCCTTATTTTAGATCACTGCCGACTACTATTTGAAAGAAAAAAAAAGCTGTTTAAATCCGAACTTTAGGAGAGTAGAAAAACCAATAGGTACATAAATGAGTACATGAGCTGTTGCTGACATCAATAGTTCAAAATGAAAACTCCAGTGAATTAGATATATTTTAAAGATAAAGGCATGTATCATCAGGCAGAAAGTTAGCGATAGGACATATTCATGTCTTTTGTTTGATGTTTGGTGTGTATCAAATACAGCGCCATGTACAATAATCAAATGCAATGAATCTTCTAGATTTTTCTAAAAGACAAAATGCTGAAACTTGGTCTGGCTTTTAATAAGATTAAAAAAGCAATAAAATGAATGAAATTATTGACAAAAAATCTGAAAAATAAAAAAGATAATAAAAATTTAAAGATTGAGAACAATGGAGAGAAAACGAAATGTCGGCTAAGCATTTTGACCAACATTTCATTTACTTCAGTTTAAGATATTTAGTTGGAACTTTTAAAGAATTAAACAAATAATGGGAATACGGTAGGTGTTTTGAATTAAGGTAAATGTGCTGCAGGAATTACTTTTCAAAAAAATAATTTACAGATGTGTTTGCAAATTCCTGAATTGTTTATTTTATAGTTAATTTATAGAGAACAAGATTGCTTTCACCAAACGAGTAAAACTTTTTTGAATATTAATTTTAAAAATGCAACGAGAATTGAATGACTCTTGTCATCGATGAAGATAAACCATGATTGCAAAGTAATTTGGGTTGAAAACTACAAAAAGAGAAAAATAATAAAAAATGGGTGCACTTTTACTGTTGGAAGACGCTTTGACTAATGATAATGGTTTTATTGCATAACACTGTCTATATATGATTCAGGAAATTTTTCAAACAGGGAATATCTTACTGGGACCATATTTCATGGCGATACTACTTTATATGTTTCCTTTGTTCGCACAGAATCGTATAAATAGCGGCTTGGGCTGCGTAAGATAGCAAGCCTCTTAGTGGAGAACTTATTTCAGAGATTTCAGTCTTTTGCTAGGACTGCTTCATTGGAGAAAAATTATGTCGTGCGCCGTTCTTGTGCTTTTGGTGCTCTTTGCCAGTGTTGCCATAGAAGGTGAGTGAAACAAGTTATACTTCCATAATGACATGCATTATGTAAGGACATTTGTCTGTAATCTTGTAGTCAAGTAGTTAACTTCACATAGCCGGTTTTCAACAAAATACTAATTGAAAAAACCTGACAAACCCAGCCGTTTTTCTCCTTCAAGCAAAATGGTGCATTACTTTTGTCCCCCCACCCCCACCCCCTGTACAAACGGCAGTAAAGAATGATGAAGACTCTTGACCAAAAACATGTATTTTGGGTTCGGAAAGGGCATTGATTGTGCCGGGAATAACTGGCATTATTTTTAAGTGAAATTGGTAAGAATCTGGATTTTATTTCCATTGTGTTACTTTACTTTCTTGATATTTGAATCTAGAACTTCCACAAAAATGAAAAGTCACATGTTTATCTTTGTATTCTTTTTATTTTTATGTAGACACAGCCGGGCAAATTGCGTATGAAGCTACGTGCAACTGCTGTGGTCAGACTTGTAGTAGCGACCATGGGAGTTGCTACTGCGTCGGAACGTACCCCAACTGCCGCTGTGGTGCAATCGAT